GCTTGATCAGCCTGTGTGCAGCTATCTAATGGAAGGAAATATTCTCTAGTTCAATTTTAAGAACCTTATTTGTCTGACTTTAAATAAGCTAATAGGATGAATAAAATTGCAAGCGTATCCACTGTTTAATTATTATAGCAATTTCTAATTTTGATCACTAAAACAACCTTAAATCTTCCCAATGAGATATTACTGGACAGTGGTTTTGTTTCACATTTGCATATCTCCAGAAAAAAACACAAGCTGGAAAAGACCCTCAAAGACTTAAGAGATTTTTGACATTTGCTGACATTACCACCCTCAGCCCAATCTCATCATAATAACCTTTCTATTGTGACTAGTTTCCTCGTATTTATATCCACTAAGTGGAGCCATTGCACCAAAATGTATTTATGATAGTGTTCAGAAATTCCCTGCAGGGGGCGACAAAGCTGAGCTGTGCTACGTCGCCATTGTCTCTATTTTGTGCAAATGTTTTTCAAAAGGTTGTTTTCAAACATGCTTTTCTTTAATATTTTATTTTACTTTATTTTTACACAATGCATTCAGTAAATCAGGTCCAAAACATTTAAACAAGGATCACCTCAAGTCTGTTTTACTGTCTCTTGTTTAAAATACCCAACGGTACATTCACACATACACGTCTTTTAGAGAATGTTGCCCTATATACAGTATATATTTGAGCGCATAGGAGCTGCAGTACTTCTCACTTTGTGTGATTGACTCACATCTCCGAACCAAGCAGGAATAAATGTGATTTGTTGGAGTGCATTCTGGTTGGAGGTTATAGCCAGTGAATGACAGAGAACCAGATTTGGTCCTGCTCACATGTGCCCTTGGGTGTTTTCTGCCTGATGCTGATGGACAAGAACATGCCGGGTTAAAGGCCTGTCATATAAATCAGGTACAATCACTTTAGAGGTGAAAACATGCATGATGCCTCTGACAGGGAAGGAAGAGCAGGGCAGAAGAAAAGGAGAATTAAAGAGGTTGGAGGAAGAGAAAAGAGAGGAAGATGGGTCTGCAGAAGTTATCTGAAGCGAATAGCTTGGCCTGCTTTCCTGAATGTATTTTCAGATCAAATCATATTGCTAAATGACTTCAGCGCATAGCTTTAAATAGTTTTGTTTTGTCTCAAATCTGTGATGCATCACTCATTGGTAAATAATAAAAATAATAGTAATAGTCCAGTCATTTTGCATTTAAAATGATTGCTTTAAAGGCAGCAAAGTTCCTGCATGTAGCAATCAAACGGAATATTTAAAGTATTTATCAGAATGCTTGACAAGATTATCTAAATTTTACTTTTTGACAGGGGAACTGTAACATGCAACATTGCAATAAACGTGCCAAAACAAAAGAAAAGACAGTACCTTAGCATAAACTCTAACATAACCTGCACACGGTCAGCCGGTGTCCAGCCATGCAGAAGTCATTTCCCTCATCATTCTGCAGTCACCTGTATACTTAAGGTTCATTTACAATTTCACATCTGGTATCCATCCAGTCTTTCTGGACTTCATGTTCTGTTTATGTAGTTTCTTTCTCTTCCCTCCCCAAAGCTTTTAGAGTCCTCTAATCATTCATAATTAATCAGGATTTTCACTTAAATGCACTGCATTTCTCACCCTCATTATTACTTAAGAGGATGCTTTTTTTTAACGGCACAAAAATATGACATTTAGTTGATCAGACTGGTCGCAAAAACGGCTGTTTGGACAAACTACTTTTGGGAGGATTTGTGATTGAGCATGCTGTCAGAGTTTCTTAGCATTCAGTAAATATGACGAAACCTTGTTTTTAACGTTTTAAACAGAGATTCTGATTTATATGTACTTTTAATATTTGTTCAAGTTTGGAATTATTTGAGCTCTGAATAAGTACATGATATTTGACAGACCATTTGTCAATCGTGCATTTGGTGGTCTCTGCTGATGGAAAAAACTCAAACTTTATGAAACTGTTTCTTGTCTCCCACACTGCTTTCTCTGGCTGAGTTTATATTACTTGTCTCCATTAAGGGACTCTCCCTTCACAACTCATTTCTCTCAAAACACTTCATTTTCAGAAAAGGCGTGCTCTTTTATGCAACAGGAGACCATGCTGTTTGACCACATCTGAAAGCAATGGTGCCGCAGAAAAAATGACTTCCTCCTTGACAGGCTCTGAGGCCGTCGAGGAGCATTTCAACATTTGTATTTATAAATCTATGAGAGACATTTAACAATAGACGACGTAACGCGTCTGATTCCCATGATACATTTTGTTTTGTTCTGTTCAAACAAAAATGTGTGAAATCATAATTCATGTGAAACAAATGAATAACATACTAAGCACAAGTAATTTCCTAATAAAGACAATAAGGAAATATCAACATGAGAGAAATAAGCTGCCTTTAGTGCCTCTAGTGTGCAGTCTGGCATTTTTATAGTCTACAACTCCAGCCAACTGTAAGCATAAACAGAAGAGGCAGAAATGAATAAAACATAAAAATTTACCTTCATGCAGTGTTCATTTTTAGTGAAGTTGAGGCAAGGCGCATAGATAAAAAAAAAAAAGGAAAAAAATGTGCATCACGTCAGTAGATAAAGCGGCTTGAAAGGTCTTTTATTTGTAACTGTGAGCAGGAGCAAAAGTTATAAAAGCCTTAAATGGCACATGGATCAAATCCAACCTTTTTAACGCTAAAATGGAGGTTTGTGTGTAAACTGGAAAGATGCCTGACAGCTTAGTAAGCTTTCAAAATATGACCAGTTATTTCTTTTTATAGTGCATAAAGTAAATTTGTCAAGTTAGAGAGTTGATATGAAATAAGTTTAAAATTTAGACTTGTGTTTTGCCTTTCATTTGTTTGGACTCCAAACAAATAAAAGGCAAAACTTAGAGATGTAATTTATCCTTAAATGAACTCCTAAGACACTTGTATTAAAGGGAACGTTCATTTTTAAATGGTAGAAATGTAACAGACATACTGTACAGTATCAGAGCAATCATTTTTAAAATCATTTCACAAACTTTATTTCCCCCATTTTAGATCCTTTTTTTTCCATGCATGCAGTAAAATTTGCTCTTCTTGCTTTGTACATTCAACATAAACAACKCCCCCCCCCCACCCCCCATCATTACACCAGTGGCGGATCTAGAATTTTTCAGTGTAATGGGGCCATTCTGGGTCCACAATATTCCTATGAATATATGGGGCCAAGAATTTTTTCAACATGCTTGCACACAAATACCCAGTTTTTGTAAGGTTTATACATTTACTTAGTCACACGTGTTCAAACACTTGTAAAATTTTGCACAGTAAAATCTCCTTATCAATTTTACGTGATTTTTAACTGTATATAAATAAAATACTCTCAAACACACAGCATGTAAGAAAATATAGCCATCGTGGTCAGTAAAAAAACTTTTTTCTGTAGAATTTTTCAAATTGAAAGAGACCAGCGAGCTTGCTTCATGTTGGACTTTCATCTTTGACTCGTTGGCGCCACTAGTGGTTGGAAGTGGAACTGCAACCACTATCATTGTTCTTGGGCAAAGACAGATGAGTGAAAGGGCAGGGGCACTTCAGGGGGCCAATCAGATTTCAGATGGGGCCAATGCCCCTGTGGCCCCCTCCCCTAGAACCGCCCCTGCATTACACAGATATTCTAAAGTTGTTCACATACAAAAGGGGGGGGGGGTGGGGAAACAGGTGTTGACTGACTATCTTTGCTCATGATTGGCCTTCCAGTGTTTGAGAAGCAACACAAAGAGTGGGCTACAATAAATCTGATGTTCACTGGAGTTTTGACTAGTTGTGGTTTGACTTTAAGAGAGAGCAACGTCTGAACAACAGGTGCGCTTTTCCACACTGCTCTATAAATGTCAGTGTGACCATAAAAAAAAGGCAAAGCGAAGACGAGTATGCTAACTCAACCTCATCGTCTCAACAACAAAATCAATGAAAAACAATAATAAAAAAGCCAAAGTTAAATTGACACTTCCACACTGGTATGCCATGGCACCAGTGAGCACAGCTGCATGATGATAGTTGTCTTGTAATGTCATAAATATGGCAACAGCGACAGCAGGTGATGGATAAAACAATTCACTGAAGAGCAGACCCTTATTTCAAACTGTCAATTTTTCATTGAAAGTACCTGAGTCCTCCCGGTTCATTCATAGATCTCTATGAGGTTTGACTGAGAGCAAGTGAAACAGCACGACGGTGCTTCAGTCTCTGTGGTTTAAGTCTTCCATTGCAGTCAACAGGCTTTGATTACAGTCGCTGCTGTTGAGACTTGTGCAACCTTTATGGGATGGTTTCAAAGATGACTCACAAACAAGCTAATTTTAGAGAGCTTTGAGCTCAAACTTGACCTTGAAGTGTGCAATTAAAAAAACATTAAAATGGAGCGACACAGGCAGGAAAAAAAAGAGGCAGAGTCAGCTGCTGCACACAATGATGGCTGCATCCTCAGCCTCGGTGGAAACGGGAAGAAAGGAACAACCTTCGATTTGAATGTGTGCTGTGAATAATTAGATGTGCGTGACATGATTTATTTTATTACACAGTTTGGGACTGTGCACTGCTTCAGCAGCGTTTTGTTCTCATTTAACAGATTGTGTTGGATTGTAGTAAATTTTGTTTTTTTTAATGGTCTTTTAGTGACTGATTTCAGAATTATGTGAGAAGACAAACTCTGTCTCACACTAACAAAACTGAAAAGAGCAAACAAACAAACAAACACATTTTCTGTCAAATAAAACACAGATTATGTTGAAAAACTTCTGTTTGGTGCATTTAATGGTTTTTTTCCTCTCGTTTGGAACATTAGAGCCAGAATCACTGAATCACATCAAGC